CCATATATTTTTTCTACGGTGTTTATTTTATTTAACATCAACTATATATCATGGTCGTTATCTGCTATTATCGCGGTGTCGTCGGCGTAACGAATGGTATTTATGAGGAACCCGTTTAACTTTATTCCACACTCAGAGCCCTTCAGTACCTCTGCAAAAATGTTCTCCACATAGAAATTAAACAGCATAGGAGACAAAATACACCCCTGTCGCACTCCTCTTAAAATTTTAAATTCTTCTGTGTTGGTTGATTTGTTCAGTGTCACTCGTGCTCTATACAGATTCTAATACACTAGCACCTAGATCGCTACAAGTCATTTAAATCGGTATTTAATGAACATTCATTAAACTAAGTAAATGCCAGCTGCATAGTTCAATGAAAAATCCAAAGAGGCCATAAACCAAAATGTGTCACGACTATAGTCTTGACAAGATCAGCTTCGATGACAATAATACCAGCAACTTTCCTTAAAAATTAATAATAACATTAAATAATAAGTATATTGTTAATAATCACATACCCTTTAAAACTTTAGTCTTATAAATAAAAGGATTTCTTCACTTAGGAACGTAAGCAATTTTCTTGGAGACACAATTTCTGTTAAAAGCTCGAAAGTAGATTATAAATCACACTTAAGTGCTTTTCGGTAAAAGAACAAAGAAAAGTTGTGTGTGCGGAAAAGTTTTGATAATAAAAAAATGTTCTAAATCGCCAAAGATCCAAAGATTTTATCGACTTTGCGCCAATTTGTCATGAACGTACATAGCGAGGCAATGTGGTGTGTCGTTAATGTCTCTGAAAATATTTTTGCCCTTGTATGTAAAAAGATGGTTATGTTAAATAAATGGTGGTATTTTAGAAAGGAAAGTTTTAGGAAAGTATCTAATACTAATGTATTTTTAACGAAAGTTTCTAATATTACAAACTTAAAATAAAAACAATAATGAAAAGGACGTCTAGTATTTACAGAAATTATAGATTTGATGAATTTAATTAATCTTTAGCAAAAACCAGAAATCTACCTCCTATTCTTATGTATAGCGTGACAAACTATCCGCAAATAGTTGACAACTTGGGAAACTGTCTAGAAAATGAACAATACACCACGAAAATATTTATAGACTAATAACAGCATTAAGATCAATTGCACTACAGCAGAAAACTACCGACAACTGGCTAAATTCTTAACCAAGCATGCGACAGGTGAAATTTTCTAGCGCTGTTAGACACTTGGGGTGTGACAAACCATAAGTTGAAAATATACTCATTCCTATATCTCGTAGATGTTCATAATACTACGTAATACTATAGCTTCAAAATACATTACGGTAATAAGTTCAAGAAGAACATTTGCTAATAATAGTTTACTTTTTCTTAAAGCTTCTGGCTTTTTCAATCATCATCATCATCATCCAGCCGAATTTTCACATCCATTCTTGGATATAGGCCTCCTTCAAACGTCTCCAGTTCTCTCTATCTCTAGCTGCTGCAATCTAGTTTGTTTCTATTCTCTTTAGGTCGTCGGTCCATCGGGTGGGTGGTCTGCCTCGACTTCGCTTGTCGGCTCTTGGTCTCCACTCCAATAATCTCTTCGTCCATCTTCCGTCTTCCATTCTAGTAACATGTTCAGCCCACCTCCACTTTTGTTTATTGATTCGCAGTATAATACGAGTTTTTATTTCATTACTGTGATCATAAGTATCTTTAATATTGCAGTCCAAATAGCATATTTATTCCACTCTTTCTAACAGTGTATTGCCTATTGTAATTGGGCGTTTATGTTGGTGTTCTTACTAATGATCATTATTTTTGTCTTCTTGCAATTAAGTTTTAGGCCGTATTTGTTAAATGCTTCTACAACCTTATCAATCATCCTATGGAGCCCCTGTGCACTATCTGCCAGCAACACTGTCTCATCTGCATATCTAATATTGATTATAAGTTAACCATTTACAGCAATCCCATGTTTTGATTCATCCAAGACAATGTGCAAGCCTGTCTAACTCCTTTTTCGACTGTGAAAATCTCGGACAGTTCAGTTTCTAATCGTACTCTTGCTTTTTGTTGGATCTTGAATCTTGAACTTGAAGTTTAAGATCAGTCTTATTTCCTTACCATCGACTCCTGATGTTTTTAGAATATCGATTAGTTTTCCATGTGAGACTTTATCAAATGCCTGCTCAAAATCAATGAAACATGCATACACATTGCAGTTGATATCATTGTCTCTCTGTATTGGAACTTGCAGACTAAAAAGTGCTTCCCTCGTTCCAAGTCCTGCTCTGAATCCAAATTGAACTTCACTCAGGTATTCTTCTAATTTGGTGTATATGCGCGAGTGAAAGATAGTAAGGAGTACTTTAAGTACTAAGCTCATCAAACTAATTAATCAATGTTCTTCACATTTTCTAGCGTTTAGTTTTTTAGGAAGTGAAATGCATATTGATAGTAGCCAGTCTTTTGGTAAGTATCCAGTCTCGTAGATGTTGTTGAATCGTTTCGTAAGAGCTGTGATTTGGTGTGCCTCTAAACCATTTAAAATTTCACCATGCTTCTCATCAAGTCCTGGTGATCTCTTATCTTTAATCCGCTTGGTATTAGTGTATATTAAACATAATATAGCCAATTATATGAAATAACATTTTTTTTTTCTAGAAAACAAATATGTGTATTATGATCGAAAAATCAATACATTTTTATCAAAATTAATAGTACGAAAACAAAAAACTACAATGGAAGAAGTATCTGGCTTATCAAATAAAAAACACAAAAAAACTTCACATGCCTCACACATGTACCTAGTTTTTCTGTCTATATTTCTGGGAATTTTGAACATCGTCCCTGCTGATTAGGTTTCCTCTTCTTTACATCATTTAAACCCTAGTCTATCCACTGCTGGATATAGGTCTCCCTCAGTCTTTTCCATGTATTTCTGTTTTGTGCTGTTTACATCCAATTTTTGTCGATACGTTTTATGCCATCAGACCATCTTGTTGGTGGACGACCTCTACTTCGATGTGCTTCTTGTCTCGGTCTCCACTGTATTATTTGCTGTGTCCATCTGTTATCCGACATTCTAGTTATGTGCCCCGTCCAGTTTCACTTAAGGGTCATAATTCTTTCTATGGTATCTGTCACTCCTGTTCTCCGTCTTATTTCCTGGTTCGCGATCCGATCCCAACGAAAAATGCCTAACAACGATCGTTCCATGGCTCTTTGGGTAACACAAATTTTATTTCTTACTTTCTTGGTTAGTGTTAATGTCTCTGCACCATATGTAAGTACTGGCAACACGCACTGATTAAAGACTTTTCTTTCAAGACACATAGGCAGTTCTGATTTAAGAACATAGCTCAGCTTGCCGAATGCCACCCAAGTGAGTCCTATGCGGCGGCTTAGTCTTCTTTACAGGCGGTTCGAAATTTTCACCTAAAATCTTTCAGAAACTGCTTCTTAACTCTCTAGATAATCTAGGATTACTCATTCTTTTTCTTTGATGTTCTTCCATTAACGGAAAATCAGTTTCTTCGGGAAAAGCCGTCTAGTAATGTTAGAACTATAGTTGTTTTATCTGTGAATGATCTGGTTATTGATTCCTGTAGTGTTCCTTAGAAAGAAAGAAAATTGTCAAAGGCCAGAAATGACTGTTGCGTGCTACATTATAAATCGCAGATAGCTCGTCTACTAAGTCAACTTTGCCTTTGATCGAATTATAAAAGGAAATAGTTTCAAGCAGCTTATTTTGAGTATCTATTACAGTAAGTTAAATATTTTTTTTTCTTTTTTTTTTCTTTGGTACATACTAAAAAATAGTGTATCCGTTCTGAAATCCAAATACACTGGAAACAACTTCTCTTCCTTTCTCTTGAAGGAATTCTATGAGCAAATAAGGCTTATTTTTCCTGATAGTACCTACTGCAGTTAAATTATGAATTTCACATAACTTCACCAAGAGATCACTACTAGTGTACCAGTTATCAAACGTTATATTGCGTTTGGTCCCAGACATAGGAGCAACCAATCTTTCTACAATGTCTTGTACCTTGATTCCATATTTCGATGGCTTATTTGGCATATATTGCCTGAAAGTACATATCTTTATAAACGATTAACTAGACTAAATGGCTATAGAAAACATTAGTCCTCCTCCTATTAATTTTGTATGCACTGTAATGGTTGTTTTTCTAAATTTAGCATAGCTGTTTTTGCAATAGAAAGCACTTTACGTATTTCTGCGTCGCTTCCTCTTTTGTTTGTTATGAAATACCCCAGGTATATGAAACCATCGAGGTCATCGAAACCAACTTCGAGGCCCCAATATCTTTATTATATTAAAGATTGTTCTGTGCTCAGTTTTTCTTCTTCTTTCTTTGCATTTTTTCTTGTTTTAAATGTATCAAAAGATGAGTAGGACGACTCCAGAACTCATGCCTGAAAGACCTGAGGAGAAGATTTGAGCCTTTATCCTCATAAATTTTTCATGCAGCAGTTTTCAAAGCTACAATTGCCATTTGGGTCGCCAACCCTAAAAAAAAGATTACGCAATAAGAAGAAGAAGATTCGCTATAAATATTAAATAGAATTGAAGAGATTATGCACCCTTCCTGAAGCCGGCTTCTGCTCTGAAATGATGTTTACTTTTACTGTGCACTTTTTATTTTCGTATAAGGGGTCTAAACAGCTAAATTTTAATTATTTGAATCGTTGTGAACTGTTACTGCCATATAATTGCTTTCCAGTTCTTATTTAGTTGATAAAAGAGGTTTGTAGTATAGTGTTTTAAAATATATCCAATTTTTTTTAATAAACATAGCACTATATCGGTTGAATATATCGCCTTGAAAAAGTAGATTTGTCAATTTATTTATTTGTACTTCATTTCAACGACACACCATCTACCAACTACTCTTTTTATTTTATTATTCCCCAACTAACACTAAACCTCTTAAAGGTGATTTATATTCTTCTTAAAGATCTCTTACCACACTTTTTGTTACAGACAAGGAGATCCAATCACCTCGGTTTACGGGTTCCAGTTGGCTGGCGTTTCCCGCACTTCGAGGGGCCTACAAACACGTCCAACTTAGCCTGGAATTGAGACCAGAAGCATACGACGGCATTTTTTTCCTCACTGGCGAGAGGGACGACATGGCCGGCGACTTTATGGCTCTGTTGCTTCATCAGGGATTCGTCGAGTTCCGGTAAGAGATTTCGTTTTCGTAATGGCAGTAAAAACACCTTTAAGTTACATTTTATGAAGTCAATTTTTGATTTAGATACTTAAATCTTGTCTTGTTTAATGCGTTTTAGTAATATCCATGCTTTATAGAAAAATGTATGGTGGAACTATCGAAGGATTGTATTTAAAAACATATCTGCAATAAAATACATATTAATCTATTAATCTAAACCTCAAAAAATTATCGGTGGGCTACTGTCCAATAAGATTAACAATGTTTACAGTAGTTATATTTCAATATACTTCTTTAAAAGAAATTTTCAATGTATACCGATCTAAAAAAAAAATTAATAAATATGTGCTGATTAAAAATACAATAAAACAAAATAAAATATAAACATTACAAAATAAATGAAGTAATTTAGGTTTACATATCAAAATGATGACTATCTCTTCCACAACCACTCAAATAAACACATGCCTGAGACCAGAAATGAATTCGGCCTTCAAAAAATATTTGCCCATCTTAGTGCTCGAGATAAAAAATTATTATATGCATAGTTGGTTCTGTAAGCACTAACATAAGAAGTTTGGTTTAATCGCGTACAAACCAACCTGCTCAAGTAGCTGAGAACACAAGATTGTAGAATTAATTATGCCATAAAAGATATTTGTATTTTTAATTAATCGTGCTCATACAATGAGAGAATACCAAGTTAGGTTTCAATTTCATCATAATTTTCTTGATTTTACTTAAAAGATATCTTTATCTATGTATAGCCCAAAATCTATTCATGTGTTGAATATAGGCCTCTCGCATTTGTCTCCATTTGTCTGTGTCTTCTGTTTGTCTTTTCCACATTGGACCTGAGCTTTGCTCAATGTCATCTTTCCATCTCATTTGCGGTCGACCTCTTGACCTTTTTGCAGTATACGGTCTCCAGCGGCCAATTTCTGTATTCCATCTTCCATCCCGATATCTTCCGTTATGTCCAGCCCATTTCCATTTTAATTTCAATGCATGTTCGATGCGTCTGTTGTTTCGGTTTTGCATCTTATCCACTCGTTCCTCTTTTTATCTCTCAACTATATTTCCAACATTTGTCTTTCCATAGCTCTTTGAGTTTTCTTTATTCTATCTAAGTTGCTCTTGGTACATTTCCACGTCTGGGTACCATATGTCAGAACAAGTATGATGCATGTATTAAATACCTTCGTTCTTAATTTTTAAATTTAGATTTTAGATTTAAAAGATATACCCTGTTTATATGCTATATATTTCAAGAACTTGTGTTGAACTGCCTCGATTTTTGATATGTAAATATTATAAGATGGAGATCATATTATACAAGAACAATATTATAGTTGAGGTCTACCTAAAGAACAATATAGTAATTTAATCTCGGTAATATTCTGAAAGTCCCTAGTCTTTTGATAAAGCCAAGCATTTGTAACGACTTATTAGCATATAATGCGATTCAAATAAAAATTTAGAGTCTAAATTAATTCCCAGATCACGAATTTCGGTAACCCAGTCAACAAGAACGTTCTGTATATTATAATTATATTTTGGATGAGACACTTGGATGAGTTCAGGCCTATGGCATTCAACACACACCACTGACTCAACCGATCAAGATCATGCTGAAAATTAACACATTCTTCTGTATTACTGATAATTGTGTCGAACTTTAGATTGTCCACAAAAAGAAGAGGTGAATTGTGCTGGAAGCAGTGGTATATATCATTAATGAATATGTTAAATAATAGGGGTCCCAAATAAGAACCCTGTGGTACTCCTGAATGAACCTTAATCAGTGGAAACAAAATTCCCGATATGCACCATCTAAACTCAGTCAATTAAGTCTGTTCTCTCATCCAAAAAGTAAACCATCATCACCCATTTTTTAAGTTTAAATATTAAAATCTTATGGTTATCCCTAACAAAGGCCTTGGAGAAATATGTATGTAGGTACCGTACAACCCCTCTCCAAGGCCTTCCTTGGGTAGTCCACAAACACTAGATTTCAAACTCGGTTGATCTGCTATTCCAAAATTCAAATTGTTGGTGAAAATGGCCAAAAAGCGCCATTTTTGCACTATTATTTAGGATATCTTGGAACGCATTAAGAACGCATGCTGGACTGCGACAGGAAGACGCGCTGGCGTGTCTCCTTTTCAACATAGCACTGGAAAAGGCGATTAGAGATGCCCGAATAGACAACAGAGGAAATATTTTTAATAAATCATCCCAAATTTTGGCATATGCAGATGATGTGGATCTAGTTGCCCGCACAACACACAAGCTAGAAGAAATGTATACCACCTTCTCGAATGCCTCAAAATCTATGGGCCTGCAAGTAAATGAGCAGAAAACTAAGATGATGGCATCAACACCCAACAATAGAGTCAGGAACATCGGTCCCCAATTCACGGTTGATAACTCTACCTTTGAAGTGGTGGACAAATTCACATACTTAGGCTCCCTGATCACCAAAGAGAACGCCATAATGGAAGAAATCAAGTGAAGGATAATAATGGCAAACAGATGCTATTTTGGACTGAGTAGACATATGAGAAGTAGAAACTTAAGCCAAAAACAAAAATAACCATATACAAAACCCTTATATAGGCAGTGTTGACATATGGATCGGAGACATGGACCATCTCCAAGGCAGACGAAGACTTTCTGCTTATATTTGAACGAAGGATCCTGAGAGGAATATTTGGTGGCATCTGTGAAAATGGTGTTTGGAGGAGGAGATACAACTACGAGGTATACCACAGATATAAACAAATATTTGGTGGTGAAGACTTAGTATCTCTGGACATCTAGCAAGATCACAGCAGAACAACCCTCCTAGAAGAATCCTTATGTCACAAAACGTGGGAAGTAGAAAAAAGGGTAGGCCAAAACTCAGATGGAAGGATGGTGTAGATTAGGATGGTAGAAAGATAGGCGCAGCAAACTGGCAACGGTTGGCAATGAATAGGACTGCCTGGCGTAATAGACTTGGGAAGGTTGAGGCTCTTTCATAGGGCTGTAGCACCATTGATGATGATGATGATTTAAGATATCTAAGAAACCAGAGCCTATTTAGCAATTTAAAGCTCAGATTTGGAAACCCTTGAAAAAGTATACTCTGTTTCCGGGTCTCAAGCTTGTCGTCCTATGTTCTATTTTGCTTCATTCTTTCCAATGTCTAGTATTACTTTTGGCTTTACTATTCTATGATTTGTGCCTATTTCTGCGTATTTATTTATCTGTATTTTCTTCATTAGTCGTTGCATTTGCTACGTAGACTATAATACTGTTCACACCCTTTTTTTCTGCCAAGTAAATATTTTTGTCTTCTTTTAATTATTGCCAGAATCTATATGCGATCTTTACTTCACTTACTAACTATGTATTTTCCATCTCTATTCTTACACGTATGTTTTGTGATACTGATGCATTTATAGTTAATACGATACGATTTTTTAGCTGCAAAGTAAAAGTTTGCCGGTTAGCGCGAGATGATTCTGTAATGAGTAAACAAAGAAAAAAAGTGTAATACAAACAAATAATAAAGAATAAAATAGTAGAATATGTGGACTACAAAACGGATAAATCGATTCCAACAAACCTTCCTGAACAGCCGAAAGTTGTTAGTAAATGGAAAACAAGGTTATTACTTAGCATAGCCCAAATGAAGTATTTTGTTCCCACCCGCGATTACAAAAAGATACACTTCTTACCTTTTCTATCCCTAATGAGCAATAAATATAATAATTAGAATAAACGCCGTGCTTAAACTTTCTAAACTTTTAAATCCAACACTGCAACAATTTTCGAATATCAGAGTTTCGACCCACTTTTGACAAACTCCCGTACCAATTAACAAATACAACTTCTCTAACTAAATAAGCAACCCAAGTAATTACAATCTGCAAAGTTTATCCCCCAAGGGCCATCGAGTAAGCTACGAAATAATTAGTCGTAATTTAACTTTAAGTACGAAATATTTGGTAATAATAGATCGATTTGTCGAGGAGAATAAGGTATTAATAACTCACGTGGACTGTGATTGTGTACGAGGTCTTACGTAAATGAGGTAGTAATCGGAAACAAAATAGGATTCCGTGCAACTTTAAGTGATTGCTTTAGTTTCAGTTTCGGATTTGACTTTAGATTTTATGTGAAGTAACTTGTTGGCATAATGTGCGATTACAAAACAATTGTGGTGAATTTTACACCCAAATAAAAAACATTATTTCTACAATTCTACGTCCCGACAGCAGACAAATATAAAAATGAAGTAGATGCATTCTTAATACCTTACAAATTAACCATCTAAAGTACATATTGAAAATAAAGAGACACTGTATCAAATGTATGTAAACATATATTTGATACAGTAGATGGAACAGATTGGAGCAGATATTGGCTAGGATCACAATTCTGTAGTTTTTACAATTGAAGCCAAAATAAGAAATATCAGAAAACCAATTTGCAAAATCCTTGGATTTAACTAAACTGAGAAATGAGAATAAAAGACAAAAAACTAACACAGGCAAGAGCTAGAAGAAACAGACTCACAGTTGAATTAGAGGACAATATTGAAACTGTAGAAAGTTTCACATATCTGAGAGTTACTTCAAACACGGAAGGAACAAAAGAACCAGAAGCATAGTAAAGGGAAACAAGGCTTATTTGGCCTTTTCACTTGATCACTTGTTTTGCTCCAAAAACACACACTGAAAATCGAAAATCAGGGTCTACACAACTATTATCAGACCAATAGTATGGATGCGAGACTTCTATTAACGAAAACGGAGTATGGAGATCCAGGTTGTAACGAAATATTTTGCCTACCACATAGGGTAATATTATAGGGAGCTAAAAAGTTACTGGGGTGGAGATAGGCAAGCAAAATAAATAAAACATATGGTAACGGCACTAAGGGTTTATTTGGAGAGCTGAGGTCGTGGATATGTTGAGTAGCGAAGAGATTTGATTTAAGTAATTACAAAATGAAACAA